GAGAGGGAGAAGCAGGCTTCCCGCTGAGCAGAGAGCCCGATGTGGGGCTCGATCCCAGGACCCTGGGATCCCGACCTGAGCCGAAGGCAGACGCTCAACGACTGAGCCACCCAGGTGCCCCACGTGCTGCTCATTCTTAACCATCTCTCTTTGGGCCCCGCCTCTCCCGCCCTCCAGGTTCCGTGTGCACCACCCGCACCAAGACGGGGGTGGGCTACCCCCAGCTCAGCGCGGTGATCGAGTGCGCAGACTCTGCCCACGGCCTGAAGGGGCACATCATCTCCGTAAGTCTCCCGCGGGGCAGGGGGCTGGGTGTGGGAACATCTCGGGACTTGGGGGGGGGCCCGAGGAAGCCTGTTTCCTGGCTGCCCTTCATCCGGTTGGCCTCCTGTGGGCTTGGCGGTGAGCCGGGCACCTTGGTCCCAGCAGTGACATTTGGCAGAGACCCAGGCCCTGCTCCCCATTTACTCTGCAGTGAGGGGCGAAGGCACAGGGGTCAGTAACAACTCATGGCGTTGGGTGGTGTGTTGGATTTGTGAGGAGCTTGGGAAGATGAGAGGGCCACATGCTCGTTTGCTACAAAGCACCCCAGCCTGGGTGGATTAAAGAAGAGAAAATCACGGTCTTGCAGGTCTGGAGACCAGAAATCTGAGATCGGGGTGTCAGCAGGGTCCCGAGGGCTTGGGGGGAAGGCTCTGTTCCAAACCTCCAGTTCCCATGGTTGGTGGCACCATAGCTCCCGTCTACATGTGGCGTCCTCCCCGTGTGTGTGCGCGCCTGTGTCCACGTTTCTCCTTTCGGTAAGGATGACAGTCATGTTGCATTGGGGGCCACCGGCCCCTGGTTACCGGAGTGAGAGCGGATTCAGTAGTATGTTGGGGGCAGAAGGCAGATTGCTGTGGGTTGAGAAATCTATGGGAAGGGGTGAGGAGAGGCAGAGACAGTGATCTAGCAGCACTTCCAGGAAGCTCCTAGAAGGACAGCAGCCTGGGACGCAGCCACTAAACATTAAAGGTTGAGTGAATGAATTAATGCCAAATTAATATCTGTCCTCAGCGTAGCCATGATTCTGCTCTACCTTCACGGTTGTGACGACTATTCAGACAGTCGAAGAGACGTACCCAGAACACGTGGGATATAATCGTGCAGACTCAGAACGATGGCTTCCACTTAATGTGGGTTTTTTTTTTAACATATATATAATTTTTTTTTTTTTTTTTACAAATTCTGAATTCGTGGTGTAATTTTAGTGGTCCTATAACAGTGTTGACTCATTGAATATATTAAACCCTCAGACCTGTGCAGTTGCTGAGTCAGGCTCCCACATTAAATAATTAATTAAAAAAAAACCAAACATTTCCAAATGCATCTGATTACACATCCCTGCAGTATGATAGCTTGTTGATTTCAGCCCAGCACTTCAACATGTTGACGTGTGGTTTCTAGACTTGCTTTGAGGATACAAGGATACTCTATAAAAATCCCTACATGCGCCTTCCCTCGTTTTGAGCCTCAGTTTAGCATGAGTGCTATGGCTTTTGCTTCACGGGAGCCAGGGTCCTGTCCAGTGCGGATTCCCTGTGCTCTTCCTCACTCTTCACCCAAGTTTTCCATCCCTCCACCGTTCCATCAGCAGGTTTTTATTGAGCATCTACTATGTGCTAGACAAGGAAGGTTTGTTGGTTGCTGACCGTTCTGAGACCCTGAGCTTGTCACCATGTCGCTGCGCTTTTGCCCCAGGGCACAAGTGAACGCCCATTTATTGTGTGTGAAAGGCCGAGTGCAGTGATCCAGCTCACCGCAAACAGCATGGTCCCCAGGACGCCGGTGGGTCTCAAGTGTTCCCTAGGGCCTTGTTTTGGGCTGGCTGCATGAGAATCACCAGGGAAGCTTTCTTAAAAAGACATTCCTGGACCTGTCTTAGCAAAGACGACTCTTCCGAGGTTGGCCACGAAAGCGCCATATGTAATTAGCCCTAAATCTCTATCACGTGACCGTTTTCACCATCAAGAGGCTTCCACAAAATTCGGGCCCCGTGTCCTGTATATGCCTTGAGCGGCCACCATTTCCAAATCAGGGATCTGTCGAATAAAGTGTTCTACTGTGAACATATTCCGAGTTTCCACATTTGTGTCCTTCTAGAAATTTCACACCTGCTTCATTGATAGGACCATATTTGGCGGGGCGAGGTGGGTGGGGAGGCTCTGCATGCACCACCAGCGACTAAGAATCAACTTGGGTTCTCTTTACATAGCACCACCTCGCTGATAAGCTTCTTTTAGCGATTCTCCCAGTGTAGGGCCCAGACCAACAACATCAGCATCAACTGAGAACTTGTTAGAAATTCTCGGGCCTACCGAATCAGCAGCTCTGAAGGGGAGGCCCGGGACTGTGTTTTAACAAGCCCTCCAGGTAATTGTCATGTGCTCTCAAGTTTGAGAACCACGGGTTCCTGTCCTGGAGGCTCAGCATACCCTGGTGGGGCCCGTGTTCAGAGCGGGGTCTCGTCTGCTAGTGCCCAGGGAACGGCTTCTCTGAACTTGTCAGTCAGGAACAGTGGCCGCCCAGGCTTGCGGTCCGGGTGCTCCCAGGTTCTCAGTACTGGTGAGAGATTTCCCAGACGGGGTCAGACGTTCCGTGCGTAGCCAGAAGACCAGACGAAGTTAGACTCCCGTGGGATCGGCACTCTTGACCTGAGCTCATTCCTCCTGGCCAGCCCAGGGGCCCGGGGTTCATAGCAGCCATTTCTTCGACCGCCCCTGTGTCTGATGGGGTTTCACAAGCCGATTTCTCCCATTAGCCAGTCCCTAAACCCACTGGAAACCCATCGGATATTTTGGATCTTGCTACTCTGCCCAGTTGCCTTCCAGCTGTCTCCTATGACACTTTGGTCGTTGAATTAGCACATCCATGCTGTTGAAATTCAGTAAAAGGAAGCCACAGCAGGGGGCTGTTAGCAGGTGCTGATGCTCAAGCGGCTGGACTTGAATCGGGTTTCTATTTATTGCGGCCCACATGGGGTTCTGAGAGGCAGAGAGCTATAAATTCAGGACACCCCCTACGTAGGTGAAGATTGAAGTGTGACTAGTTAGTTTTGTCTTGTCATCTGCTGGGGACATCACACAAAAGAGAATTATAAAGGTGGAAACAAACTGTAGAAATGATCCCTGAAAGTAAAGGTGGAAACAGACTTAGAAGAAGGAATGACTGTTATTTGTTGAGCATCTACTACCTTCCAGGCACAATACACTTAGAATTTATGATCCTTGGAACAACCTGACAAACTAGCAGTTAGCTTCAGTTGACAGGTGTATTAGGGTTCTCTAGAGAAACAGAAACAATAGGGTGCATGTGTACATGTGTGCTTGGCAAGAGAGGAGGTTAAGAAAGTATTATAAGGAATTGGTTCACGTGATTATGGGGGGTGAGAAGTCCCAAGATGTGCAGGGTGAGTTGCCAAGCTAGGGACTTTGGAGAGCTGATGGTGTAGTACCAGTCTGAATCTGAGGGCCTGAGAACCAGGAAAAGCTGATGTTTCAGTTGATGTTAAAAGGCAGGAAAAAGCCCATGTTCATTCAGAGGCAGTCAGGAAAAATTCACTTGAGGAGGGTCAGCCCTGTTGGTCCATTCAAGCCTTCGACTGATTAGATAGGGCCCACCCACATGGGGGAGAACAGTCTGCTTAGTTACCAATTCAGATGTTAATCTCATCAGGAAGGAAGGGGGGAAGAGTGGGAGGGAAGGACAGAGGGAGGAAGGAAGTAACCTTCCTAGAAACAACCAGACTAATGTTTGACTAGGTAGCTAGCACTCTGTGGCCCAGTCAAGTTGATACATAAAGTTTAGCCGTTGCAATCAGGTGAGGAACTGAAGCTTCAGGATCTTAAGTAACTTGTCCAGCATCACTACCGGCAACATTCAAACTGAGGTCTGTTCATCTTCCCTTGACTGCCCTCCCCCCATTTAGAAAATGAGGAAGTCACAAAGAACGAGAAGAAGAAAGGCTTGCTGAAGTCACAGAGAATGCAGGGTTGGTACAGGACCCCATCTGCTCGTTCTCCCACCCCAGTGCTCTGGGAGATGTGCGCGTCCTCTGTCCTTCCCCCCAATATCCATCACCCAGACACCCCCTCCGTCCCCGCCCCCCCCCCCCCGGGACCCCACGCGTGTCTTCCAGTGGGGAAAGGACAGTCAGTCCCCGATGCACGGTTAGAAGGGGAGGGATTCGAACCACCGGTGAGTTCACTATCCACTGATAACCAAGCACACCTTGGACTTCGTGCTGCTTTAGAAGACCTAGAAAGAAGTCCTCGGATTAGGTTGACTGGACTCACTCTGGTCTCTTCTTGACTCAAGCTCCAGCATTTTAATCAGTGCATTTTATAAAGACCAAGAGAGCATGCCTTGTCAAGGCTCAGAAGGCCCTGTATCGTGAAGGGCTGGTCATGGTAAGGATCCAGATGATTCAAAGTCATCCCCAAACTTCTCCCTCTCTGTACCCGGTCACTAGTACTTGCACTGACCCTTTGCAGAGAAGTAAAGATGCATCAGCAAATTTCTGGTAATTTTAACGATTTAATACAGCATTTCAGAAGCAGTTAGACCATTCTTTAGCAAGACCTAAACAAAGTTTTTCAGATAATTAAAAATTTTTGAGGCCTGAAAAATTCCCCAACAGCATAATTTAGCCTAGAAAAAGTTAGAAACTACAGATAAATATAAAGGTTCCTGGAACTGTCAGCCTTCTTAAGAGGACCACGCCTAATGTTTTGATAAGTATGCTTCTCGACAGATTTATGTTTTTAAAATTTTATTTATTTATTTTTGTTTCTGGACATTTTTAGAGTGTACACTTAACCGGGGTTCTAATCTTGTTCTGACATTATTATTGCTGTGTGACCTTGGGCAAGTCACTCAACCTTTCTGAGCTCCCCTCATTCCCCGCCCCCATCTACAAAAATATCAACTGTAGGTGCTTGTGGTGTTTAAGTGAAGTTTGTAACAGCCCCGGCACATAGTAGGTGCTTGATTTGAATTCGCTCCACCCGTTCTGTACTTGCTTTCCCCGCCCTCAATTTTAGAGAAGGGCAAGTATTCTTGAGAAGAGAAGGTAGGCCGACAGTTCACAGATGGAGTTCCCACCGCTCCTGTCACGCGACGCTTTTTCTCCTGAAAGACACTCTTGAAAAGCAAAACAAGCAGCGCTTTGAATATTTGCATATTGTTTTTGAAAACGTTTCCAGCGGCTGTGATGTTTCTATGTGAAAGTAAATGTGTGTCTTAGATCCCAGGGGTTTGCCCCTGCTGCTCTCGCCTCCTGAGAACATGAAAAGGATGCTTTGAGCAGCTTCTGGAAACCATCTGTGAGCGGGAGTAGGGAGCAGACTCCTTTGCCCTAAAGCATTCTGCGACGTCAGATGGCATGGGGTCAAATGCGCAGCCTGGCGTGTCTGGTCCACCTTGTCTATTTATAAATGCATTTCCAAGTAAAGTGAGCAGAAGATGCCGTACGTAGGATTTCCTCTTGATGGCACATCACGGAGCCCTCTTAACTGTGGACGTCTTGGCCCATCCTGGGAAGAGAAGAGCTCCTTTTTCAAGGGCCCAGGTGGCCTCATCCCTCACCACAAGAATGTGGAATATTCCGGGCCCCGCATGAGACACCACGGCAGTGACAACTCACAGCTCGAAAGCAAGGGAGGGTGTGTGTGTGTGTGTGTGTGTGTGTGTGTTGTGTGTTGTGTTTCAAGTCCAGTAACGTCCTAGTGTAATGGGGGTGTGAGTTTGTTTAGTCTTCTCAGGTCATATGTTTGACACCCTTTCGAGTGCAAAACTGGTTTTGGTACAGAGATAAAGCATTCCAAAATTGGCAGGGCGAGTGAAGGGCTTGTACCTTTGAAAGAGGAAGTGGAGACGCCGGAGCTTGGGGCCAACAAGGCACAGCCCCAAGTCCTGTCACTGTCTTCCCGTGGGTGGTTGGGCCACGTAACTTAGACCACTTGTGAAATGACCATTCCCTAGCACCCCGTGGCCCTCCGGGGGTCAGAGAAGCTACACTTGAGAGCAGGCACACATCATTTTATCGAGCTCTGCTTTATTACACCTCAAAGAAACCGTGTTTTGTTTTGTTTTGTTTTTTTTAAACAGAAGATCTGTGGCAGCCCCACATTAGGGACAAGTTTTGGCACTGTTTTTCCAACAGTTATTTGCCTACTTGGTGTCTCTGTGCCGCATTTGGGTAATTCTCAGAAAACTTCAAACTTTTTCATCCTTGTATTTGTTACGGCGATCTGTGATCGGTCATGACGGTTCGCCCAAAGCTCAGGATGGTTGGCATCTTTTAGCAAAAATACTGTCAGTACAATACAATACAAAAAATTAGTGAAAGTATTTTTTAACTAAGCTGTGTACCTTTTTTTTTAGACAGTAATGCTCTTCTCTCTGCACTGGGAAACCACCAAAGTCATTTGACTCGCTTCACTGTGATATTCGCTTTATTGCTTGTGGTCTGGAACCAAACCTGCAATATTTCTGGGGTGTGCCCGTCACAGACACGATGGAGGAAATAGTTCCAGGCAGTAAATATTCATAAAAAAATACAGAGTTCAAGCTTTCACACCTACCTTTGGATCTGAACTGCAAAGAAGTAATGAGACAGAAATTGAGTTACAGCTTGTGGAGTGACAGGCCTCAAAAGCAGATGAAAAAGGGAAATGAGTCACAGAGACCCCTGTTCTCCAGGGGAAGTGCTGCTCATAAAGTGGTTCGTCCTGCTTGGCTAGATGCCCTCCAGCTCTTGGGGGTGCACACCTGTGGTTCATCCTGCTTGGCTAGATGCCCTCCAGCACTTGGGGGTACCCACCTGTGGCTCAACCCACTTGGCTAGATGCCCTCCAGCTCTTGGGGGCGCCCACCAGTGGTTCAGTCCGCTTGGCTAGATGCCCTCCAGCTCTGGGGGTGCACACCCCTTCCTGCCGATTGTGATGCCAGCTAGCCCCGGGCAGCCTGTGTCCTTCCCAAGGCTGGTCCGACTCCTTTCTGGGTGGGTCCCACCTTCCAGGGACAGGCGCTTGCCTCTGAGACCCTGGTGTTTCTCCCAGACCCACCCTGAGCTCAGGGCTCTGTCATCACGCCAGCTTCCCCCCCACCTTCTCCTTGGACGTCACACAGGCCAAATTGGGAATAGCAGGTAGCAGCTGTTGGTAAGGATACCCTGTGGGCTCTGCATTCTAGAAGCCCCACACTGGGCTGCTGGTGCTTCACCATAACCTCCGTGGCTGAACCGTGCTGGGCCGCCCAAGGTGAACCGTCCTGCTGGGCATTCAGCCAGCCCTGGGTGTGCGCTCTCTATGGGTAGAGTGGGGATCAGGAATGCATGTTCGATCTTTAAGCTAACTGGGCCCATTACAAGAAGGTGGATAGGGGACCCATGGAGGGGCTAGAAGGATAAAGGAACTCCGTGTCCTTTCCCCAGCTCTTAAAATAATTCAGCTTTTGTACTAAATAAACCTCACCTCAGGCCAGGCAAGGAGGGAAAGGGGGACTTTTGAATGAGAGTGAATTTGGGCGGCCCTGGCCAGGCATGTTGTGTAAGGGGATGGCAGGGGATGAGGTCTCTGAGCATCTCCTGCTGCCTCCCGCTTGCCTGGGCTTCCAGGGCAGGCTGAGGGGGGTGGGGGGCAGGGCGGACCCGGAGAGAAAACCCCAAGAGGTTGGGGGATGGGAGATGCAGTATGGAGGGAAGCAAACTAAGTCCAAACACGGTGAGTGGGGAATGCTGGGCCCGGGCTCTTCGCTGTTTTTGGCTGGGGGGTGCTTCCGGAGATCCCGTGCTGATGACCGAATCGCCCCAGGGGAGGGGGACAGCCTGGCCCAGCACGCCGCCGCTGATCCCCTCTCCTTGCTTTTTCCTCTTTGAAGGACGGAGGCTGCACATGTCCAGGAGATGTCGCCAAAGCCTTTGGTAAGGGGACAGGTGGGGGGGGGGCGGGAGCTCCCCTGCTGTTGTGTGCTGGCCTCTGGTGGGAACCTGAATGAAGAGGCGGGACGTGTTGGGAAATTCTGGGCCAGTCCTGAGTTTCCTGTTCCCTGGATCTCAGCCCCAATTGGCCGGAATCCTGATGTTGGTTTGGTTCAGCGGAGCGGGCGGGTGGAGTGCCCAGGGGATGGATGGGGGGGGGGCGGGGATGTCGTGTCAGCCTGCAAGCCGGGAGAGGATGAAGTCATGGCTTAGACGGGGGCCTGTGGAAGAGGCCAGGACCAGGTCGGTAGCACAGCGACTTCAGGGAGGGTCTCTGGGGCCTAACTTGGGGCAACCTTTTGGGAAGGACTGGAGTCCCCCCGGCGGTTTCTCCCTGTGGGGCCGAGGCACCCGTGTCCCGGCAGGGGACAGCAGTGTCCAGCGGAGATGCAGTTGGCGCTTCTGGGGCCCCCTGGCCTTTTCTTGGGAAAGCGCTAGGCAGTCAGCGGCTCCACGTGCTGTGCCCAGTGCCACCTGAACTTGGCGAACTGCGTCCGATGTCGGGGCTGGCTGCACGGCTGGGGACGCCCGCCTGCCAAGTGGGAGCTGCGTGTGCCCACGGGTGACAGAAAAACAACCTGCACGGCCCCACTCCCCTTTCTGAGGCCAGGGCCAAGTTCACGGTTCATTTTTTTCCCTTTTTTTTTTTTTCCTATGGAGGGGAACTTTCTGTCGGAGACGTTCTTTTTTTTTTTTTTAAAGATTTTATTTATTTATTTGAGAGAGAGAGAGCACATGAGAAGGGGGAGGGTCAGAGGGAGAAGCAGACTCCCCGCCGAGCAGGGAGCCCGATGCGGGACTCGATCCCGGGACTCCAGGATCATGACCTGAGCCGAAGGCAGTCGCTCAACCGACTGAGCCACCCAGGCGCCCCTGTCGACTTTATTTATTTATTATTTTTTTTATAAAGATTTTATTTATTATTTGACAGAGAGAGGGAACACAAGCAGGGGGAGTGGGAAAGGGAGAAGCAGGCTTCCTGCTGAGCAGGGAGCCCGATGCGGGACTCGATCCCGGGACTCCAGGATCACGACCTGAGCCGAAGGCAGTCGCTTAACCGACTGAGCCACCCAGGCGCCCCTGTCGGAGACATTCTTAAGGGGTGCCAGGGGTCCTTCCCCTTACCTGCATTGGGCAACTCCTGTGTTTCTTGACCACTGCTTCAGAGACCTTCCCATAGACTGTCTTAGGTTTAGGCACTGGCTCGCTCTCTCTTTCTTGTAATGAAACACTGATGGTGACAAGGAGACCGGGACCATGTTCTTAGCAGCGGGGTTTTGTAGCAGCCCTTGGGGAATGTCATGAAAATGGGCGGCCTTCTTACGTAATCCCCTTCTGATCGTGCATCTCGGTTATGGAAGGGAACACACGGGTCATCTCTGTCATCCAGGGTGCCTCCTTTGTAGTTGAGACTGAGGCCCTGAGAGGTGGGTGACAAGGTCAGGGTCCCACAGCCGGCAGCCAAGCAGGGGGAGCCAGGACCTCCTGCGTCACTTGTGTGCCCCCCCACCCTTTATCTGGATCATTAGCCAAAGACACTTTGGTTACTGATTTTTGAGCTGAATCTACTGAATGGTGTTGGGTGCTCCCGCTTGGGCTCCGTGCACGGAGTAGGAACTGGTGCACTTTTAAAAGCGACCGACTGGGGGCGCCTGGGTGGCTCAGTCGGTTAAGCGACTGCCTTCGGCTGAGGTCATGATCCTGGGGTCCTGGGATCTGAGTGCTGGATCAGGCTCCTTGCT